CTCCCCGGCGCGGGCGTGGAGCCCCGGTCGCGCTGCCCCCGGGAAAGGGCCAGGGCGCGAGCGGGGAGCGGACGGGGCGGCCAGCCAGCACGGGGCCTCCGGCACCGCCCTGAAATCCTTTGCCTTCACTAGCTGCACCAGCTGACAAGTGTACTTGCAAAAAGAGACTTCTCTATTTCCTAGGAACTTTTGGGAGACAGGAATCACCGCCCCCGAACAGCACAGCGCGCTCCCAAGTTTGCAGCGCCGCCGGGCGCTGGGTTCAAGGCCAGGTGGGCACACTTCCCCTTCCCCGCTGGCGGCCGGGGGAGCCGATCTGCGAGGATCCGGGGGAGGAAGGGGAGGGAGGGGAATGAGCTGGTGCAAAGATGGTGGTGAGCTCTCCCTGCCCCCACTTTGTTTTCTTGGGTGGAGGTTGAGCGCTGGGCTTTGAGGCTGGTTGCAGGGTCAGTGCTTGGAGGAAAAGGGCAGGGAAGAGACTGGAGGCCGACTGGAATGGAAATGCTGAGTGCCTGGGGAACTTGTGTCTTCAACCCCCTCTTGCAAACAGGGAACAATAAGATGCTTTGGGGAGAATTTCCAGAGCCTGCTGTGAGTTTTCTGGTTTTGAGGGGAAGCGCAGCATTGGAGAGGGAAACGTTTTAGGTGGAAAGAAAGAGGCCTGGGCCATGGAGAGTCATTGAAGGTGTTTGAGTGCGAGGGAGTGCCCAGACTTCAGTGATAGTTGATTCAGGGGCATGTGAAAGGGACAGAGCGTTGTGGGGGCCAGGGCCTGGCTGTGGCAAGTGTAAAGGAATTTTAAGCTTTCTTTCTACTCTCTGAAGGAGAGATATTTGAGTCTCTGGAATAAAGTGACAGTCAATAGATTTATTACATGCATACACAAAATATAAGACTGAAGAAGGGTCATGCCAGTGAATGTCATAGCCTTGGACTAGGGGTTGGGGCTTGGAGAGGGAGTGGCTTCTGAATACAAGGTTGTCTTGTTATGCAAAGATAGTTTCTCAGGTAATCTTGAGCTGCCCTCCGAGGAACTCCTGAGGCCTGCAGCAGTCTCTGCATACCCCACCTGACCTCTTTCTTGTCTCTTCCTCAAACCTACTTTAGGCAGACCAGGGGGCTTCAGAGAAAGCTACTGCTTGCATCTGCCCTTGAGTAATGTAGATCTCCCTTCTAATCTTTTATGAAAGGCCACCATCCCTGTGTCTGCAGTTTCTCCAAATAGCCATCTCAAAATATGCCACAGAAGTCAGTTTTGGAGTGGCATGTTGTAGTCTTTTACACAGGTGACCACACATACCCTGTGCCCCTGTCCCAGACCAAAAGAGCCCACTACCTGGTGGAGACCCAGCTGCTGGGGGAAGGGCTACAGCAGGGTGGGAGTGGGCAGGGGACTACACAGGGTGGGAGTGGGCAGCGGGCCTGAGTGCCTTTGTGGTGCCCTCCCGGCTGGTGAAGGCCCCAGCGGGGTTCTGTGGTTCAAGGATGGTGGATGGGCCTTGGAATTCTTACCTTGGAGTCAGGTTCTCAACTGTAGGCAGCCAAGAGCCAAAATGCCAAACACACACCACCACCATCACCACCACCCCACACACTACACACACACACCCCGCTGATGAGATAAGTGCCAGCGCTGGACCAGCTGCGTCCCTCACCTCCCCCAGTGATTAGGAACCCCACCCACCAGCCCCACCAGCCCAGGCCACCCCACATGCTTTCTGTGGTGCTGTTAGAGCTGTCCCTGTGTGACTGACCTCATCCTCATGTCATCACCTGCGGGCAGGAGCCTTTGTCCCCTTTTGAAGATGAGTGGGGTGAGTGCCTGGCTTGCTGCAGGCCAGGGGACCTAGCTCTGGGTGCATCTTTGCCCTTCTCTACCTCACACCCACCTCAGGGTTTCCCATGTGCTTTGACCCTGTCTTGAGCACCCCCATCCCTCACCTTACCTCTCATTCTCTTCTGTGGAGGTAGGGACAGTTTCTAGACTGGCTGAGTGATGGACCAGGACAGAGACTGCTCAGGAGGCTGCAGAAGCAAGTATCTGGGGGCAGCAGAGGGAAGCAGGTGTCAAGCCGGGGAGGAGCCAGACTGCACTGGGATGTGCCCGCAGGGGTTGTGCTTGTGCTCGTTTAATTGACCGGGGGACTGTCTGGGCGGCAGTAATCTCACTTTCCCAGAAAATGAAACTGAAGCAGGGCCTGGTCACGTGACAGGAGGGACCGTATATAGCCGGCTGCCTGGATCTCTTCCCCTTGCTTCTAGGTCTGCAGGGGACGCATCCCCACCCGGAGATATGGAATGCCCTTCGTGCAGGCATGTCTGCAAAGAGGAAGCCCCCAAGTACTGCAGCCAGTGCGGGAACAGGCTGCCTCCTGTCGCCTCTGTAGCAGGTGAGCCCTGAGGGGCACCAGTGGGTGCTGGGGACACAGCTAGGGCAGTGGGGACCCCCTGCAGTGGGCAGTCAGCCCTGTCCCCTTTCCAGGAAATGGAAGACTTGGCAGCAGGCAGCCAGCTGGGGCTGAGGCCCTCTACGGCTAGAGAACTCTCCTGAGAAGCACTTTCATTAAAAGAACAGTTTTGTCGGAGTCTTTGCTGAAGGTGCTTATCGCTTTTGTAAAGTTTCAGTTTCATTTCCTGGAAAGAACTTAAGAATTTTTCCTTCCCTCAGGAACAAGAAGAGTCAGGCTGAACTGAGGGATTCATAGAGGGTTTCAGATGATGCCACAGAGAAGCGGCATCTGAGATGTTGCGGGATGGGGACTCTGCCTGGGCTTGTTTGGGGAGAGGCAGGAGGGCTCCCTGCAGCCTGTCCAGGTCCCTTCCTGGCGCAGGGAGGCTATCTGAGAGATAGGAATGGAGCATGGTGCGAGGTGGGCTTTGCCTGCTGACCATTTGGGATCTGTCCTCGAGCCTGCCGGCTTCTAGGGATTCAGACTGTGTCCCTTGTCACTCGGGGCTGCTCTTTTCCATGTCCCTTGGTGGCCTCATACAGTTCCATGGTTTAAAATGCCACCTGTGAGCTGGGCTCAGTGGCTCAGCCTGTAATCCCGCGCTTTGGGAGGCTGAGGTGAGTGGATTGCCCGAGCCCGCGGGTTCGAGACCCACCTGGGCCACTTGGCGAGACCTCATCTCTACAATAAATCAAAAAATTAGCTGGGCGTGGTAGCGTGCGCCTGTAGTTCCAGCTACTTGGAAGGCTGAGGGGGAAGGATTGCCGGAACCTAGCAGGTCGAGGCTGCGGTGGCCGGGAGCGGCCACTGCACTCCTGTCTGGACTATAGAGTGAGACTCCAACTCAAAAAAAATAAATTAAAAAAATAAAATAAAATGCCACCCGTGTGCTGGCAGCACCCAGGTTAATCCTTTACCCTGGACCCCTCACCTGAATGCTGGCCACTCTGTGGCCTGTCAACTTGGCGTCTGGGAGACCTTGAGCCTTTTTGTGTCTAAAGCCCAGCTATCCTCAGGCCCCCACCTCCACGGGCAACTTGTCTTTCTAGCTGCTTCTGCTAGAACCAGCATCCTCGGGTCTTCTCCTTCTTTCCTCTGCCATCCTCTTGGGGATAAGAGGCCCCTTCTGGTCTCCATGCCTTTACCTTGCCCTCTCTCCTACTTTTAGTGCAGCAGTCAGATCATGTACCTCCTTCCAGCATCCCCCTCCCCTACCAGTTTAACTGAGTACAAGCAAAAGGTCTTACATTGGCCCACAAGATCCTGCGTAGATGGCTGCCCACCTCATTCCTTCTGACCTCCACCTGCTGGCTTCCCAGAGCCCACTGGCCTCCTTGCCCTTCCTGAGACACACTAGGTGTACTTTGACCACAGGGCCTTTGCACAACCTGATCCCGGTGCCTGGCCAGGCTTCTTCCCTCTTCTCGTTCAGTCTTTGCCCAGCTGTAACCTCCGATGATGCCAGGACCACCCATTTAAAATGACAACTAGCCCCTCCCCCAGACTCCAAATTTCATTTCCCCTGACTCTGTTTTTGTGGCACTGGGACCACATTAGGGGAGACCTCTGCTCCCTATTCTCTGCTTTTCCCCAAGTTCCTTGCACAGTGCCTGGCGCACACCAGATGCTCAATGTTTACCTGCTGCCTGCATCAAAGAAGTTTCGCGGGAAGACCACATGTATTTTCTTCCTCCTTCCCTCCCTCCCTCCCTTCCTTCCTTCCTTTATCAGGGCCTCACTCTGTCTCTATCTCTGGGGCTGGAGTACAGTGGCATAATCAAGACTTACTGTAGCCTTGACCTCTTGGGCTCAGGCAATTCTTCCACCTCAGCCTCCTGAGTAACTGGGACTCCAGGCACACACCACCATGCCCTGCTAATTTTTTTGATATATTGTAGAGATGAGATCTTGCTATGTTGCCCGGGCTAGTCTTAAATTCTTGGACTCAAGAGATCCTCCTGTCTCAGCCAGAATGCTGGGATTACAGGTGTGAACCATCACTCCTGACCTTACCTTATTTTTGAAGTCTGCGTGGCATATGTGTTGTGGTGTTGTTGGTGCCAGAGCTTCTTGCCTGGGGACTCTGATGTTACCTTTGTGTTCAGGGCTCGGGTATGAGCCGCCAGTTCTTCCATCATTCTTATATCCTTGCATTTGTACGAAGTGCTCACGTGACAGATGTTTTTGCTGGGCTGCAGGAAGTGTGAGCGAGCTGCTGCTTTCTGTTGTTGGTTTTTGCTTTATTGATTTCTTTGCTCTTTGGGGAGCAACTTTGGCGGACAGTCTGACTTCAGAGTTTCATCTCTTCTTTTGGAACACCTGGGGTCTTGATGGGTTGCGGAATTGTAGAGTTGATGATGGTCTCATTGGCTGCTCCTGTTATAGATTTCTTGCCATCGGGAAACTGAGTCAATGGATGACTGAGCTTCTGGTGTCCCGGTGGAGTTTCCTCCCTGTGAGGGCTTCTAGCCCTGGTCACGGGAACATTTTCCCTGGTGGAGGGCCTTTGGGGTGGAGGGTCTTTGGAGTCCCAGAGGTTAAAAAAAATCTAATCATCTGTGATGTACCTGGCCCTGGGCTCAGTATTGAGGGAAGAGCAATCATAAATCCCCATTCACAGATGCTGAGAGTAAAGCACAGAGAGGCTAAGTGACTTGCCCATGGTCCCAAAGCTGGCAGCTGGCAGAAACAGGATGGGAACTTTCCAGAGCCATGCCCTGGGGATAGCTGCGGTTCAGGTTTTGCTGGCCTCAGGGGAAGGGTGGGAAGGTGGGGTATAGGTGTGGCTGGGGGGATGAATAGCTCCAGCTCCTGCCTCTGGACCTGCAGTCAGAGGAGCAGGAATTAATGTGGGCCTCGGGGACCAAAATTAGCCACTGCTACAAGATACAGCAGGGTGGCCCCAACTGGTGACCGAGAAGAGAGATGTACAACAGACAGTGCCATGGGGGGAGCTTCATTTAGTCTCCGATCCCTTTGGGGAAATGGGTGATCTCACATTCCCTTCTTGGAGGGTCTTCCTGAAAGGTCACTCTCCCTTTGCCCTGTCCTTTCATTCAGTGTGAGGGGCTTTCACAGGGCCATCAGGGCACCTGGTGTGTTTGCCAACAGAGCAGGAGAAAAAAAAATGAAAGTCTGTCTGAGAACATGGGCGTGTGACATTTTTGTAAAATGCCATTAAATCTTCTCCTACTTGAACCAGAGCCAGTGGCTGCCTTCTGGGAGGATGCCCATCCCAGTGGGTAGGGAGAGTGGGCAGGGTGGCTATGCACCTGGGCCCAGTCAGAGGCTGGCCTGGGACTTCCGCATATCTGGGCTGTGCCTCTTTGCGGGAATGGAAACTGAAACCAAGATGGTGGGGGTTGGGGAGAATATGGGGAAGGCGTGTCTGGAGCAGAGGAGGCAACCACTCCGGACAACCACTTGCAAGTTCACCAGGTGGCCCTGGGCTCGGGGCATCCCAGACACAGGCTCCGGGTGCTGGAGGAGTGGGGGACACAGGCAGGCCAGTCTCTGGACAGGGCAGTGGAGGCTGTGGGGCAGTCTGCCCAAAGGCCCTGGGATGCCTGTGTCTTGTGGGAGGGATATTGGGATTAAATTCAGGTGTCCATGTTCCTGGACCAGGCAGGGGCTGCCAAGAGAACTAGTTCCACATGATTTGGGTGTATCTGTGAACTTGTTTCCAGAGGAGGTTAGTGCGTGAGTGGACAAGGTAGGGAACATCTTGAAGAAAAAGGTAGAGCCAACCAGGCTCGGTGGCTCAGCCTGTAATCCCGCGCCTTTGGGAGGCTGAGGTGAGTGGATTGCCTGAGCCCGCGGGTTCGAGAACTGCCTGGGCAGCAAGACCTCATCTCTACAATAAATCAAAAAATCAGCCGGGCGTGGTAGCGCGTGCCTGTAATTCCGGCTACTTGGAAGGCTGAGGCGGAAGGATTGCTGGAGCCCAGCAGGTCGAGACTGCACTCCAGTCTGGGTGACAGAGTGAGGCTCCAACTCAAAAAAAAAAAAAAAGAAAGGAAAAGGGGGAGCCAAGAGGATTTCCTCCTTCTCCTGGAGCTGGGACACATTCTCCTTCTCCTGCTGTTGGACATCAGAACTCTGGACTCTCTGGCCTTTAGGACTTCTAGGACTTGCACCAGTGGCCTCCTGGGTTCTCAGCCCTCCAGCCTCAACCAAGAATCAGGCCATCAGCTTCCTGGTTCTGAGGCCTTTGGACTTGGACTGAACCGCTACCAGCATCCTGGGGTCTCCAGCTTGCAGATGGCCTGTCTCAGGCAGCCTTGACGTGAGACTTCTCGGTCTCCATAGTCACATGAGCTAATTCCCCAATAAGTCCCCTCTCATGCATATGGACACGAATTCTATTGATTCTGTCTTTGTGGAGAACCCTGACTAATATGGATTCTGGTACCAGGAGTGAGTTTTAAGGAATCTTAAGGATGAGTTTCCTAAGTTGGTTTTGGAGTTTCTGGAGTTGACTGTCTAACCTGATTAAATGTAGAAATGCTAAGAACTTTACTTCTTTTTTTTTCTTTTAATTGGAGTTTCACTCCGTCACACAGACTGGACTGCAGTGGCCACTCCTGGCCACCGCAGCCTCGACCTGCTGGGCTCCTGCAATCCTCCACCTCAGCCTTCGGAGTAGCCGGAATTACAGGCATGCGCTACCACACCCAGCTGATTTTTTGACTTATTGTAAAGATGAGGTCTTATCAAGTTACCCAGGCGGGTCTCGAACCCACAGGCTCAGGCAATCCACTCACCTCGGCCTCCTAAAGGCGGGGGATTACAGGCTGAGCCACCGAACCCGGCTACTTCTTTTTTTTTTTTCTGAGTTGGAGTCTCACTCTGTCACCCAGACTGGAGTGCAGTGGCCGCTCCCGGCCGCCACAGCCTCGACCTGCTGGGCTCCGGCGATCCTTCTGCCTCAGCCTTCCAAG